TTGACTGCTAACCAGAAGGCTGGCGGTTCAAACCCATCAGCCACTCCTCAGAAGGAAGATGAGGCAATCTACTTCCGTAGTGATACTGCCTCAGAAACCCAAGGAGGGGTCGTCGCTATGAGTTGGGGCCGACTCGACGGCACATAACAACAACAACAACAACAATTCACATGCATAATATGAAATAGTTGTTTCACACAAAATTGTGGTTCACAGTAACAACATGCAAGTGGCTTGTCCTTAATACTAGTGCACAAAAAAATAAAAGCTTCCTTTCCTCAAACATAAGGATACATCCTTTTACATTACTACTTCCTTTGTCATGACAAAAGGCATTACACTCTATCCCCCTCCCAAACAGTTGAGTATTTAAAAAAAAAAAAAAAGCTCATAAATCAATCATTTTCCATTGCCTGGTCATTATTCAAATTTTACCAAGAAAGTTCCTCCTCTTATCTTCAAAGTACAGCACAGGATGAAATTAAACTGCTACAATAAGTTAACTTATTGAAATTAAACTGCTATGATAAAGATTTATGTATTTGGAATATTTGGGAGGAAGATCATAAATAGATGGGGAAAACAGATCTTGAGAGAACTATAAGGGAAGGTCGGAAACCCAAAGAGGGGTCATTATGAGTCGTATCCGACTCCACGGCACCCTGGCTCCGTAGTAATGGCTTCTAGCTCTTGATCAATCAACTTCCTATTTGGATAGTCTCTCTGCCCTGTTTCATGAACCCTTTGTTCATGCCCCCTTACTAATTCAAATCAACAAATATTTGTTAAACCACTACTGTGTGCACGGCACTACTAAATACTATAGGGGATACAGAAATGAGTAACATGTGGTCCCTGTAATTCAAAATAGAATGTGTAGGGTAGAGCCCACCCACCTCCATTTTATACTTAAAAAATAGTAATGTTGTTGTTATGTGCCGTCAAGTCGGACCCCACCCACAGCGACCCCTCCTTGGGTTTCTGAGGTGGTATCACTATGGAAGTAGATTGTCCAACCTTCCTTCTGAGGAATGGCTGGTGGGTTTGGACCGCCAGTCTTCTGGTTAGCAGTCAAGTGCCTTAGGCATTATGCTACCAGAGCTTCCCCCGCAAAATATAGTAAAGGTTAAAAAAAATAGAGTATGTATAATGAACCATAAATTAGAGTGTGATTTAGTTAACATGATAGAGGAAAAAGCAAAGTGGTACCACAAGGGAGGTGGCGCTCTGTCCCACTTGGTGGGCATAAGGGTGAGGAATGAAATAGAAAACATTTCATTGTAGAAGTGGCATTTGAGCAGAGTCTTAAAGGATCAGGTTCAAACAGGAACAGAAGGGGAAAGTATATACCAAAGGGGGTAAGGAAACAATGTGAAGAAAGCCACATATGTGTGAAACTCTGTGGAGTGCTTGGTTTGGTTTGACTAGAACAGAGAGTGTATAAGAAAATGAATGCAAGGGAGACGAGGCTAGAAAGTAGAGTAAGGCCAAGTCACTGTAGGCCTATAATGCCATGTTAAAATCTTTAGACCTCACCCCATGAGACAATAAATCAAGAGCCAAAAGCTTTTGAAAAAGGAAGTAAAGGAGCCAATCTATGTATTAGGAACAGAGTGTAAAAGATGAAGTACAACAGCACAACCAATCAGAAAGGACAGCTTTAGGAAAGAGAAGACAAAACAAAGATTCAGAAAAGGGGCAGTGAGAAGGGAAAGATTAGAAGATTCTAGATACTCTGTGGAGCCATACTCAAAAGGGCTTGGTAAACAGGAGCGAGAGCAGAGCATCAAAGAGGATTCTGAGGTTACTGGTTTCAGTGGATGGAGATGCCATTAACCCAGACAGAACAACAATAAAGTTCTTAACAGTCCATCGATACTTTGGAGAAAAAGAAATAGATTACTTGTAAAACTCTACCTGAACAACATCAATGCAGGCGTCCAAGTAGATGCAACCTTTAGATTCTTTTGAATTCTTTTCATCTTTATAGGAATTAAGAATATATGAACCATCTGGAAGCTGAGTCAAGTAAAAATACCGTCTCTTGAATACCTATGGGGGAAAACCACCAAAGATACATTTGTCAAATATATACTGCATTTGAACAGCTTGTTCTATCTCAAAACCTTAAACAGCTTTTCAGGCTTTGTATCAGCATACTTCAGACAACCCTGGGAAGTTGTTAGGAATTATGACTATCTTCCATTTTTCTTTTAAGATAGAGAATTTAAAGCCAAGTAATTTACCCTCGGTTAACCAAAGATCTAGAAAAGAACAATACTTAACACTGCTTAACACTTTAAAGTTTATAAAGCACCATTTCACGATAGCATTCCTGCATTTAATTGAAAGCCATGGTTGGACTCTATTTTCGTTCATATGACCACAAATCCAAATATATATAATGTACATACACATACCCTTGTATTATATATTTACATTCCACTCGTATTCACCTACACTGTACTAGCACCTCTCCTTCTAAAAGCCCAGCTTATAATGCTCAAAGGTAAAAATCTGTGTGTCATTAGCTGCTTACCAGTTGTTGCTGAACACTGAGATTTAAATCAGTACACCCAATGAAACAGTGCCATTCACTGGGAGTTAGGGATTCACAACAGTTAAGGAGCAGCCTGTTGCTATACTTCACAGCAAAGCCTACAGGAATGGAGAAAAGAAGCAAGACTACCTGATTCACTCACGCTGCCCCTCTATGCTCCCTTAAATGTAGGACTCTGGAACCTGATGTACAGGGTGAGAAGAGGAGATGAGGAACTCTCTGATAGGAGCTATGGTGGTATTGTGCCTAAGGCACCTGACTGCTAACCAGACAGTTGTCGGTTCAAACCTATCAGCCACTCCCCAAAAGGAAGATGGGACAATCTACTTCTGTAAAGATTTATTGCCTCAGAAACCCAATGGGGGGGTCACTATGAGTTGGTATCGATTTGATGGCAGTGAACTTAGTTTTTTGGTAGTGATGAACCCATGCTTCTTTCAATAAATCACATACAGCAAGCTGTGGTCAAGTGTTTGTTGCAGGGAGGGGGGGTAGAGCTTATTCCAGTTCCAATTCTCCAGGATGATGAATCTAACATCATCTTACAGTGGGAAGGGAAGAGTGGGAAATAGACTCTTGGTGATTACTAAGGAAATATGCATTCCTACTCGTCTTACCCACAGAACTGAACTTTAAGTTTTAAATTTGTCAATTTTAATCACCTATCTGATTATCTAGGACGATTCCTGGTTATCTTAAGAACCTGAAGTATGGAAATTGTGTTGCTTGGCAAGATGATTATTGCACACTATTTAACTTCTGGCCTAGTACGTGAGACATCAACAACTTCTTTCTCCATAGCATGAGCAAGCGGAATATAAAAACATGTCATAAAGGGTGTCTCTTTTTAGGAAAGCCAATAAAAAGAAATAATGATGCTTGTAGTTGTTTTTGACTTGGATTAAGTATTACCGATTTCTGAATGGATGACAAAAATATACTAGTGTGAGGAACACCCTAACGGGTTAGACTGCTAAATGCTACAGCTTCTATTCCAGGGAGTAGCCATGTGGGTTATGTGATATCAACAGGAAGGGGTCCAAGCAGTAAATATCTGCTTGCTTTCCAATGCCAGTCAAGTTAAGTTTACCAAATTATAAAAAACAAAATAAATAAATAAAACTTCGAGCCCAAAGCACACTAAAAATAATAAAACTGTGAATTTCACATTAAAACAAAAAAGACTGCCACATTATGATACATAAGATAAAGAAAGGATATCTATAACTTCTCATATTTCATTTACCTACATTTATCTTTACTGGACTTATAATTGAAAAAACTCTATTAAACACACAAGGAAAATGTTAATCACAATGGTAACTATATACGTACATTTGCTTATTTTCATGACATTGGTTCACATCTGTTATTAAAACGATGGGAACAGAAGACCTAAAATTATGTACTGAGCTCATTTCAAATGAACATTTATTAAGTACTTACATTATGCAAAAGACTGCATTTTAAAAAATTATGACAAAAAGTATGTGTAAGAAAATTAGAACAAATTTTCCAGACAAAAATTATGAAAATTAAACCTGATCAGAATTTGAATTATGACAAATGCTAAAAAGTCTCTAGCTGCAGTGGGACAATCTGTAGAATATATTTGCAGGGTCCACAGCCAGCAACAGAGAGAGGGGTAGAGGAAGGAAAAATACAAAGGAAAACATTTTGTGGCATGGAGTCAGATTATAGCCTGCTGCTTTTTTTTCACGTACAGCTGCCTCACCAAGCAAAGGCATTCTGTGGCAGCAACCACTTCCAATATTAGCAAAGCCCATTATTAGAAGAGAAATGGAAAGGGATCTGAAATTACAGTAAATCACTTCCTCTAACATTGCAATTATGTCTAAATATGACACTGATTTAGGTAGCTTATGAATCTGGGGAGAAAGCATGGTAAAATGGAAGGACCAGATGCCTGAAAGTCCTAAGAATTTGGTTTTCACAGTTGGGCTCATCTGCTAGCTACCATGACTGCTCCTTTCTAGGCCTGCCTCAGTTTCCTCACTGATAAAACTACTGGACCAGACTAAATTGTAAAATCATGTTTTTTTTAGAATCTATGAATAATTTTTATCAAAATTGAACAAGCAGCTGTCCTACATGGGGGGGGGGCTACCCTCCCAAGACATTTCCTGCATACTAGAAGCATACAGATAAACAACAAATCTTTATATAAGCCACCTCTATTTAGAAACCAGACAATGACCCGACAACAGATCCCTAAGGTCTCCAAGATCTCTTCTCATTCTAGTATTATATAATGCACGCTGGGTTTCATTTTCTAGGAAGCTTTTACGGTGTCTTTCAAAGAAGAAAAGGGTTCCTAAATCTCTCTTGGGAGCTCTGGTAGCATAGTGCCTATGGCACTTGACTGCTAACCAGAAGGCGGCAGTTCAAACCCACCAGCCACTCCTCGGAAGGAAGATAGGACAATCTACTTCCATAGTGATACTGCCTTGGAAACGCAAGGAGGGGTCGCTATGAGTCGGGTCCGACTCGACGGCACATAACAACAACAACAAATCTCTCTTAAGCAACCAAAAGGGAAATCAGAAACATAACTTCTATAATATTTAAAAAATTTCCAAGATGTGACTATTTAGGGCTTAAGTCCACATTTGTTTACATTTCAAAAAGACAGCTGATAAAATAATGACTATATGGAACAGTAGTATTTACTCTAGATCATACCTTTCATTTGAAGGCCCCAAGTCCTTTGTAACCAATAGCTAATTCTGTTAATATCCCTTGGGGGTAAGTAAGCATCACCTACATTTTACACAGCAGCAAACTGAGAGGCCAAGAGCTCATTCAAGTTGACCCAGGCAAGTCAGCGGTAGGACGGGAATCAGAATCATACCACAGTGACAAACGAAGAGAATCCTGCCCGAGCCTCCAATGGTTTCTCATCAAGGGTAGAATAAATTCCAGAATCCTTATCATAGCCTGGAATGTGCTACATGATTTGGCGTCAGATCACTCCCGGTCCATGGGCTTACAAATCAACTTAATCCAATGAACTAAACCCATTGCCGTGGAGTCGATTTCAACTTGTAGTGACCCTGTAGGACACAACAGAACTGCCCTGTCAGGCTTCCAAAAGTACAATCTCTATGGAAGCAGACTGCCACATCTTCTTGCAGGGCAGCTGGTGGATCTGAACCTCCAACCTTTCAGTTTAGCAGCTGAGTACTTAACACACTGCACCACCGGGACTCCTATGACTTACCAACTGCTCTTTAAACACCCCACACAAGCTCCTTCCAGGGCCTCTACTTCCTGTTTCCTCGACCTGGAATCCTCTTGTCCCACATACCCTCAGGTTTTTGCTTGAATGCTGCCTTCTCTGAGAGGCCATGCATGATCACCTGCCCTCATAATTGCAACCTTTTTTTATCTTTTTCACAAAATTACATTCTTATTCATATATCTGTTTACTTATTTACTATCTGTCTCCTATAGACTGTTACGGTCCATATCTCATCTCCTGCTACATCCACATTACCTATAATAGTTGCCTGGGCTCAACAACTGCAAAATGAAAGATGAATGAATGAATGAATAATGTATTCAGATTCTCTGGTAGTTTCATCCAATAGAATGGTGTTTCTCTGTAATGTCCATACTCCTCCTCTTCCTTTCCTTTTTTTTTTTCAAGTATTGAAGATACCTGAAAATCTCCCACCATACTTGAGGAACATGGACCCTGACAAGTAGCCTACCAAGTCTGCCCAGAATAAGAAAACACGGAGGAAGCCAGAGGCAATGATTATCTGGTATCAGTGTCCACTGAATTTCTTGAAGGATCCAAGGTCTTTGCATGGTAACCTTTTAAAGTTTACTGTTCTTGAGTGGGAACAAAGGTCTTTTGCCATTTAGTTGAAACAAAGATGGCAAAAAGGCAGGAAAGTCTGAGCACCTAGTATCCCCAAAGCAGAAAATCCTTTTACTTAACAAATCTCAAGAGTGTTTTCCTAAGTGGGTCGTCTACCAGTCACCCTGTTGCCATGGAGCTAGCTCAGACTCGGTGACCCCATGTGTGTCAGAGCAGAACTGTGCTCCACGGGGTTTTCAACGGCAGATTTTCAGAAGTAGATTGCCAGCAATTAATAAAGAACCAGCTAGATTCTCCCAAACGGACACGTTTGGTAGCGTATCTTTGATACACATGTGTAGAAAGAACAATTGACAGAAAAAACCTTTTCTGCTACTTAAAATATATTTCATACTTACAGTAAAATATGTGACAAGTGTATATTAACTTGACATGGGAATGAAAACATTCAATGTTATTAATTGGATAAGTAACTTTTTAGTCAATTAAACTGTTAAGAACTAGTTTTCTCTCTTGATCAAAACCAGGTATTTCTGTTTTAAATATACCACAACGGATAGGGAAATGGCTAAAGTATATAGTCAACTCTAACTCACTGCCGTCGAGTCAGTTTTGACTCATAGAGACCCCTCCTTGGCTTTCCAA